AACGAGGCAATGAGATTGACTAATCGCACGCAAGCAACGGAATACGTCCATACACGTGCGGGATCAAGCCAAGTGTTCGAAGAGTCAACGAGTCATCCAACCAAAGGCATACTCGGACGAATGACGATCGAATCAAGATCGGTTTCGGACTCCAACTCAGAAGCGGATTTACTGCCTAATCGGGATCCGGATTTACTGCCAAATCAGATCAACCAAATCAATCCGAACCTATCAACTACAAAACCGGAAAACGGGCACAAAGAGGCAAAACGACAGCCGAGCCACCCCAGGGTGGCTCGGCCAAGGCCGAGCCACCCCCTGGGGTGGCCGAGCCACCTCAGGGTGGCTCGGCATGAGCCGAGCCACCTTGAGGTGGCCGGCCACCTTGAGCTGGCCACACGTGCACACGGGCACGGGCACAGTAACGAGAGCCTATAAATAGGCCAAGGCCTTGGTTCATTTTGGGGGTTGGAAATTTTGGAGAGAGGCGAAGCCCTGCTGGATTGGAGACTCGGAACTTAAAAAAGATTGGAACTTTGGGACTTCGGGGACTCACTCCTTCAGATCTGGTGCTCGGCGATCATCAACGTCAAATAAGGCAGGTGTTCGAGAGGATCAGATCTCAGATCTACGCAGGCATACTCCGGATCTAAGCTTGGTCTTAGATCCCGAGACTTGGACGATTGTTTCCTTGGTGAAACAATCCTCCCCGGCTATTATTTCCTTGGTGAAATAATACCCGTCGTACTGCGTAGATCCGACCGGATCTAGATCTCGCGGTGGTCCACGGCAAACAACCCCGGCGTAGGCAAAGAACCCACAAAGCGAGTGACCGCAAAATAGGAGCTCGCGATTCGTTCGACACAAAAGGAGAAAAGTTGTAATCTTTGTTTATTTTTATTTGATTTTCGTTGTAACCGGATCTTATAAAAAGACCGGATCTTTTGTAACTCAAAAAGTTGTAACTCAAGATGACAATGGAATCAATAACAAAGAAAGCAACGAATTTCCCCGCGAACAGAAGGTCGTGTAGTTGATAATGAGGCTGGGATGAGGATCGAAGGGTTTTATCTTGTGCGCAAACCTGACATAGAGAATTGCGGTGATGGGAAGATTGATGGCTGCGTCATATGGTCTTGTCATTGAACAGGCAAAGGGAAGAGGGTAATTGCCGCATGGTGGCTGGGAATAGCGAGGAGCCAGGTGATAATACTGTCTGTCTTGGGAACATAATCGACTATGGAATGCATTTAATACAGAGAGAAATCGAATTTTTTCTCTTGATCACTTTGGTAACTAAAAGGCTAAACTTAATAACCATTCCATAAGCTTGACAACAGAGCGCTAACCTTAGCAACCAATCCATAAGCTTAGCAATACAACGCCAAACATTCCAATAAATCGGAAAGCTTGACAACCATCACATAACCTTGATAACCAGTCCATAATCTTAACAACAAAATGATAAATTTAACAAGACAACCTTGTATCATGCCACATCCTTCTTCACAATCATGCTACAACCTTAACAAACAAACAAATAAGCTTTATCAACAACCCCATGATCTTCTCAACAATTACCGAAGCTCAACAACACGATGAGGACTGCTACAACCTTAACAAACAAATAAGCTTAACAACTGAGCTAAACCTGAAAACAAAAAGCTAAACTTAGCTACCATTCCATAAGTTTGACAACAGAGCGCTAACTTTAGCAACCAATCCATAAGCTTAACAATACAACGCCAAACTTCACAATAAATCAGAGAGCTTGACAACCAGCATATAACCTTAACAGCCAGTCTATAATCTTACCAACTAAACGATAAACTTAACAAGACAACCTTTTATCATGCCACGTCCTTCTTTACAATCATGCTACAACCTTAACAAACAAACAAATAAGCTTATCAATAACCCCGTGATCTTCTCAACAATTCCCTAATCTCAACAACACGATGAGGACTGCTACAACCTTAACAACAAATAAATAAGCTTAACAACTGAGCTAAACCTGACAATAAAGAGCTAAACTTAGCTACCATTCCATAAGCTTGACAATAGAGCGTTAACCTTAGCAACCAATCCATAAGCTTAATAATACAATGCCAAACTTCACAATAAATCAGAGAGCTTGACAACCAGCACATAACCTTAATAGTAACAGACAAGCGATATTCTCTCAGACCAAAACTACGGGTATACATTTACTTTAACAAATCAAGCCGTCGTATACATTTAATGTCAGGCCAAAACTTTGACAACCAATCCATAAGCTTAACAATAAAACTCCATTCGTAACAATAAACATGTAAACTTAACAACCAGTCAATAAAGGTGACAGCCAGTCCATAATCTTTTTGATAAAACGATAAACTTAACAAAACAACCTTGTATCAAGAAATAATTTTCTTTACAATCATGCTACAACCTTAAAACAAACAAATAAGCTTATCAATAACCCCATAAACTAAACAACAAATCCCTAAGCTCAACAACACGATGACAACTGCATGTACAACCATTGTCTCTGCTCTAAGTTCCATAACTGTGGGTGAATATAACTGTCTCCCTTCAATGAGCTTGTACAATAACAAGACAGTTAAGATTCAAAAGTGTGTGGAATACAATCAATTCAGTTGGATCAATGCGTGAATCACCTAGGAAGGCATGCATATGCTGGTGGAGATAGTCCTCTGGCTTACGTTTACACTGTATAGCTATACAGTGTTAACGTAAGCTAGAGGGCTATCTCCACCAGCATATGCCTGCCTTTCCATGTGATTCACACATGACCCATCTGAATTGATTGTATTCACTGCACTTATGAATCATAACTGGGCGTTAATGTATAAACTCTTTGGAGAAAGCCACATACTTTCACCCACAGCTCATGGAACTAAGAGTAAAAATATAAGGGGATAACGTCTTCATCAGCATGAGGGATATCCAAGATCTTCATCAATGTCCGCAAACCTTGTCACCATGATCTTCATCGGCGTGAGGACTAGCGTTGATCTTCTGGTTAATGGTGAAAGGAGAACTTGAAGGTTTTGGGGAGAGGGTATAAGCTTGGGCTTCACATATAAAGGATAGAGGGTCAACAGAGAGTCGACGATGGGGAGATCGAGGAAAGATTGCGCTAAAAGAATATCTAATCTATCCTGTAGTTGAACAGGCGAAGGGATGGTGATATTGCCGCATGGGATGTGGGGATAGGTAGGAGTCCAGGTTATATTAACTCTCCTTCTTGGGAACTAGGAGGAACATTGAATGCAGTAGCAGAGAATATACCCCGATGACCATGACAACCAAGCGTAAGTGAATAACAGTAAGGGACCTAACAGTAAACATAAAATTCAATCGATAAACCTAATAACCAAATAGTAACCTTAACAGCCAATCCATGACCTTAACATTTATAACGATATACTTGACAACAAATCCTTGTACATGACAATAAAACGCTAAACTACATAGGCTCGTTACAGCGGAGATTTCTTGGATTCTGACTGTATAATAGCATCAACCATTTGAATGCTAATAACTTTATCTATTCCCCATTGTCAATTCTCTGAGTTCCATAACATGTGCTTGAATATAAATTGCTTTCATCGAAGAGCTTTCCAACAGCCTGGTAAGTTCACGGAAAACTCTTTGGAGAAAGCAATTTATATTCAAGCCCATCTGATGGAACTTAGAGAAAATGACAATGGGGAATAAATAAAGGTAATAATATTCAAAAAAAGGTTGATGCTATTATATGGTCAGAACCCAAAAATATTAAAGATGTCTTCATCAGCGTGAGGGCTAGCCGTAATCTTCTGGTTTATGAGATTGGAGATGGGAAAGCATAGGATGATCGAGAAAAGAGTGAGGACAAATAGAGTGGTGGTGATGGGAAGATAAAGAAGATGTAAATGTGAGGAGAAAAGTTATAGGCTAGTTCTGTATTGGAACAAGTCGAGGGATGGTGAGATAACTCTACCTCCTCGGGAACTATGAAATGCATTGAATGCAGTCAAATCAAAAATATATCGGTAACCTTGACAACCAATTACAAGTGAATAATAGTAACCTTAACATTAAAGTGATAAACTTGATAACCAAGTAATAACCTTAACAATCATGCCATAAACTTAACAATTTTAACGATATACTTAACAATTTTAACAATCGGTGACACTGAAAACCAAGTGCAAGTGGATAACAGTAAACTTAACATTCAATCGATAAACATATCAACCAAGTCAAAATTTCAACATTAAAGTGATAAACTTGACAACCAAGTAATAACCTTAACAACCAAACCATAAACTTAACAATTTTAACGATATACATGACAATTTTAACAATCAGTGACACTGACAACCAAGTGCAAGTGGATAATAGTAAACTTAACATTCAATCGGTAAACATATCAACCAAGTCAAAACTTCCACAAACAAGTCATAAACTTGACAACCAAATAGTAACCTTAACAACCAAACCATAAAACTTAACAGTTTTAACGATATACTTGACAATTTTAACAATCGGTGACACTGAAAATCAAGTGCAAGTGGATAACAATAAACTTAATATTCAATCGATAAACATATCAACCAAGTCAAAACTTCAATAAACAAGTCATAAACTTGACAACCAAATAGTAACCTTAACAGCCAAGCAATGACCTTATCACTTGTAACGAAATACTGGACAACAAATCCATATACATGACAATAAAACACTAAACTATATAGGCTCGTTACAGGTTACACGATTATGACCCTCCACGTTGCATCGAGAGCACTTAACAGGACGGGTGTTCAGTGACCTGTTGTTTATTCGTCTAGTGCATGGTTCGCCACGTCTTTTTTGGTGAGAGGAGGCTTTAACACTCGCTCTTCTGGCGGTACAAAGCACTTCTCGTAATCTGGGATGGGAAAGATGATCGGTGCATAACTTGCTCTGAATGTGTCAACAGTCATGTACCAATCATAATATTGATAAATTTCTCATCCCATCCATGTAATTGTAGTGCACGCATGTTTGTAAGGAATGCGGGTGATGTCCCAAGACCTGCAAGAATAAGTCCGATTCTTCAAATCTACACGGCAAGTTTTATTGGACTCGACCTCCACAATATCTTCTGTCGAATGTTTAATCGCCAAGTAGCTACCATGTTGAATATTATCACACAGCACCATCTCCGCTTCCGGGCATAAGTATCCAGACCATTTCTGACCCACTAGCTTCCTTTCATGCATGCGCTCTATTATTTGCTTCCGTATGGTCTCAATCAAAGGTAAGATTCGCAACAATCGTGCCTTTCTTATCCAGCTGTTGAAGGAATCAACAACGTTTGAAGTAACATGGCCATACCTTAACAACAAAACACTAACATTAACAATAAAACCATAAGCAACGTTTGAAGTAACATGGCCATACCTTAACAACAAAACACTAACATTAACAATAAAACCATAAACTAAACATTAAAGGCCTAACATGGCCATACCTTAACAACAAAACACTAACATTAACAATAAAACCATAAACTAAACATTAAAGGCCTATCCTTAACAACAAATATTCTAAACTTAACAACAAAACCCTAGCAGAATAATTCTAATCATAACAATAAAAATCTAACCTTAATAGAAAACTGTAGGCTAACTCTAACCTAAACAACTATAAAGGTGCTGTAACAAAATAATGTTAAAACCAAGCTATCTTACCTTATACCAGGAAAATGCGCGTTTGCTTATCTCTCCAGGGAGTATTCCATTACAGTGACGTAAGCCCTGTGATCGATCGCATGCCAATTCTTTCATGTCATCATCCCATTCAGATATTGTGAACTTATAAGCCGCAGATTGTAATAGCTCGCCCAACATAGTTGTGATATTTGCCTTGTACCCAAAATCCTTCATCTTCTTTTTGATATTCTCGACTAGATGCAGAATACACCTTGAATGGAATGCATCTGGAAAGAATTCCTCGACTGCTGTCCTAATACCCTTGTCGGTGTTGGAAATCATTACCAGTCGATGTGGAGGTTGGTAAGGATTTTTCCTATCATACAGTAACGTCCATAATCTTTGTAAGAACCATTTCCAGTTAACCTCATTTTCTTGGTTGCATACGCAATAAGCAAGGGGAAATATTCCCTGGTTACCGTCATACCCAGTGGCACTAAGTAGCATGCCTCTGTAACGATCTTTAATAAATGTTCTATCCAAAAACAATAGAGGCCTACATCCAGCAATGAACCCTTCAATACAGGCATTATAACTAATGAACAATCGCCTAAACCTCTCGCCATCAACATCAATAACAACACGACTCTCTGGATTAGTTGCATGCACCATGGATTCATACCTGCATGAATATAACAACAAAGCAGTATATTTAGCAACAGAGACATAACCATAACAACTGATCTTCAAACTTCACGACCAACACATATACTTAACGACGAACCAACAATTTTAATAACTAATATGTATAGTTAGCAACCAAAACGTAAACAGTAGATTTAGCAACGGATTCATAACCATAACAACTGATCTTCAAACTTCACAACCAACACGTATACTTAACGACGAACCAACAACTTTAACAACTAATACGTAAAGTTAGCAACCAAAATGTAAGCAGTAGATTTAGCAACGGATTCATAACCATAACAACTGATCTTCAAACTTCACAACCAACCCGTATACTTAACGTCGAACCAACAACTTTAACAACTACTACGTATAGTTAGCAACCAAAACGTAAGAGTGATTTCAGAAGAATAAAAAAGATAAAGACCATCTCAGTGAATCGTAAGCCTAATTATCGTCACCGAACATGTCCTGTTGAGCTATCTCCTTGCCCCACCACGCTTTACTGTAGTTAATCTTAATGTCAAAATTAGAGAGCATGTCTTTCTTGATATTAACTGCACGAAGATCTGGCCTAACCTTTAAAACAGCTTGCATTTGCTCCACGTTGACCGCAGGTGTGGGTAGATTCGAAATTCTTTATGGACATGATAGACGAATTTCTGAGCGGGGAAGCAAACAACATCCAAGGGCAACCATGTGTGTGCTTGAATCGGCAATAGACTCATATGCGCCTTTGTTCATTATGGTAAAAATCATACTCGAACTGTTTAGCAATTGAATAGTATTAAATTGCTAATGTAACTTCAGCAGCACTATCAAATTTCTGACCAACTTCACGTATGGAGGTGTGCCACTCAGTTAGGATCTTTGTTTGGTGATTAAGCATATCTTCCAGCAGCATGATCGAGTCACCGGTGGGGTTATCATTAGGAATACGCTCATAATTATAGGTTTGGGTAAACGTGGTATCTGCGCATCGTGAATTTTCTATCGGAATTGTCCTGAAGTAGTAATAAAAATACATAGTCTCAACAATGAACTGATAACCTTAACAACGAACTCATAAACGTAACAGCCAACACATATCCTTAACAACTAACTCTTATACTTAAGGACAGACTCGTGACCTTAACAACAAACGCATATACTTAACATCAAACACCTTATCATAGCAACCAATTAGTATACGTAACAGCGAACAAATAACCTTAACAACCAGTCCTTAACATAACCTTGACAACCAACTTATTACCTAAGCAACCAATACATAAGGTTAACAACTAATGGCAAAACCTATCAGTGAACTCAAAAGGAAATCTGGAGTGTAATTCCTATGCAGTTTCCGGTGTAGTCTGCGTGTTTTGCGAAGTTGAGGATTCCCCAACGGAGGTAGCATACAAATTCGCGTCTGTAAATCCATTACGCCGACAATACTCGAACATCAAATTTAAGTCATCATCATTGTCAATTGAAATACTGAATTTCTTTTCCCTTTCGCATATGAACTTCAGTGAAAGAGATTGCATTGGTATTTCAAGCCTTTCCGACACTTGATATTTCAAGCTGATTATTTCTGTATTCTCTTTGATAACAACGAATACACCATCACCACCTTTGTTGCTTTTTGCCTTCATTACCATGCATAGAAGAGATCCATCCACCATTTTATTACAGGGAGTAGTTGAAGAATCGAAGAGGCTTGTATTGAGGAGAATTAAGTGGAAGGAACAAATTAGTTGGGGTAATAGAATGAGGAGGAACTCAGCGATTTTATTATGGCTGGAAGGGGAATATATCTGGTGATAATTTTAGAGGGAAATGAGAATCCCCTCCCCCCCCAAGAAAAGGCATTCTAATCACCATTTAATGCCTACAGTCAAAACGCCATGTTTCCGATGTGAGAGGGCGACGAACATAGGCTGCGCAGGGTATTTTGGGCATTTTGAGAGGGGTTTAAACGGAGTTACACCTGGAGATTTATTTTGGGGGCTGGAAGAAAATCGTAAGCGATTTTGGGGGCAAAGCACCCGTTGAAAAAGTCTTGGGGGGAGGAGGGGGAACATGTTTTCTTGTGTTTTGGGGGCTGGAAGCATTTTTTCCTAATTTTTATTTTGTTTCCTTTGACTTTTTCATTGTCATGGTATTTTGACTAATAACATGGTGTTTCTAAATGAGGATTTATGAAGGAGGCCCCTTTTTTAAGGTATGTATATCATTTTGAGGTACGTATAAGGATATTCATTACAAAAAGTATTATGCAAGCCTTCCTTCTTAATTTGATGATGCATTTTAAGTGATATGGTACTTATCTCAACCTCCATTTCTGTATATATCTTGATAGTTGATAATATATTTTCATGTGCCTTTAGATTTTTTTCATGTAATTTTATGGTTGTGACATATAAATAGACAAATTTGTCCATTATTTGAATAATTTAAATGATATGCATGATACTACATTACCCATGCATCAATATTGCAAGTCAACAGGATTATTATAACATGGTTCATGCACCCACTTGATTCAAGTTTATGACTTTATGTCTAATTCATGCTCTTATGTCTATTTTTGTCTTAACTAGTGTAGATTATGATTGTCTCTATCTGTTTGAATTAGCACAAGGATTGACACAATGATTGTCTAATTCATGGTTTTATGTCTATTTGAATTATCTATATCTATTTGAATTGGCACAAGGGTTGGCACAAAACCTATTTTTCTCATATAATAACTCCACCATACAAATCTTCTTCATTTCATGGGGATGGCTAAACCTGAGCAAGAGAACCACCTCCTTATCATATATTGAATGTATTGATAGTTTCTATCTGTCTATCTCTTTTCTCCTCAAATCTCTAAAGTTATGTTTCTATTGAGATGCTCGGTTGCAGGTATAGAAGGAGAGGAAGAATTTGAGTTTTGTTGAGCAGCCAATGGAAACTACTGACACTGAAGGAGCTTGTTTATTGTGTTTGTTGGACATTGTGATTTCCTTTTAATTTTGAAGAGGAAGAGTGATATATGTTTTTGTTTTGGATGGTTTAGGTTTTGGATTTTATAATGTGCATGTTATTTCTTGTTGTAAAGTTTGTTGGAGTTATTGCATTTTGATAGGGATGGGGTTGAGTTTTTGAAATTTGAATAGTTGTAGAAAAATATTCTTCAAAAAGATGAAGAAGTAAAACAAGCCCATATGAGCTTTGATGGAATTTTTTAATGACAGGGCTGTTCAAGTTTGGTCGTTGGAATGACTATGAAATTGGAATATATGTATGCTCACCTCTTTTCTTAGCACTTCTTTATGTTGCCTCTTTTGATGGTAACCTCACCATAGTGAGCCCATCTATTACTAAAGAAAATAAGAAGTGGATGTTTCATATTATTAGTTTTGAGAGCTTTGTGAAGCAAATATCGACAAAAGGGCGAGATCATCGACGTGTGACGAGGGAGAACGGGTGGTTTGTGCTCATGGATTGCTTACTATTTATTTCAGAGGCTTGCATATGATATTTAGGCAAGATTATCTTCATCCAAACCTATCCCCAAAGTTAAATAACTAGTGTAGATGATTAATATGATGTTGAATATGTGTTTTCATGTTTTAATCTTAACCTGAGGTGTTAAAAGTCAGATTTTTGATAGTAAACCCTAAAACAAATGCTAGATTAATAATCTTTTCTTACTGTTTACGATAGTATCATGATCATGATCATTAGGGTTTTTCATAAATGTATTCATATATGAGAAATTTAAGTGATGTACTATATATTTGTTTTTCTGCAGAAAACTACAGCACTTGTATAATCTTTAATTGAGATTTTAAGATAGCAAACAAACTCCAAATTTAACTAAACCAGTTTTATATGAAATTTATATGTATCTGGTTTCTAAAACAGAAAACCATTCTTAAAAAGACTTTGTATAGAGAAAGATATGTTATATTTACTAACAACATATCCTGTAGAAAACGGCTGCACATATATAATATTTAACTGGAGATTTGGGATAATAAATAAACTCCAAACTGAACCAAACTTATGCCATTTGAAAGATGTGTGAATTTCATTTTCAAAATAGAAAGCCATTTGTAAAAATAGTTTTCCTAGAGAAAAATATGCTTGTTTTTCTAACAGATGTCACGTCTGTTTTTCCTGCTCATTTTGTGGAGCTGTGTTGCGCAGTTTTGAGGTGTGTTCGCGGAGTTTTGAGCCGCTTGATGTTATACATTTAGTCATGAATATGTTATGTTATACATTTAAGAATTCCAAGGGGATTATAATAAATTTTGATTTGATCACATTTGAATTAGATATCATTCATATACATGTTGGATGTCGTTGATGAGCACAGCTCAGTACTATATGGGATAGTGCGTCGACATACCAGATATACATGGTTTATACATGAGGTGAATGTCGTTGATGAGCATAGCTCAGTACTATATGGGATAGTGCGTTGACATACCAGAGATACAAAGTTTTACATGAGATGGATATCGTTGATAAGCTCAGTTCAGTACTACATGAGGTAGTGCGTCGATATTTCACATGTACAGGCCATTGAGTCGGATTTTAGGAGGCTTGATCTAGCCGTCCGTCCAGCACTAGGGTGTGATGAGGCTCGTGAGCCGTATTTCTAGGATGCCTATTTGGTAGTCCGTCTCGCACTCATGTTACGCACTAAGATCACGATGAGACTAATGAGCCGTGTACACAGTTCAGGATACCTACAGGGTAGTCCGTTACACTGAGATAATTACTTGATAGCCTAAGTATGGCAGATGCCGATTATGAATACGACCTATCATTGAACTATATAACTAAGATATGTTACTTTTGAAAGTATACAAACTTATGTGTTGGTATTTTATTCTATCTCCCCAGTGATTGTGGAAGATATTATAAATACGATGTGTTGATATCTTATTTCTTTTACTGTCTTTTTTTTTACTTCTTAGTTGGGATCAATGATTAGAGATTCACAAGTTGATGTCTATTATTATGCTTTATTTTCTAGTTATATTTTGTTTGTTTAGTTAATGGTTAATATTTAGTTATTTTCTACTTGAGACATATTGTATATACATGAGGGTTTTCTTGTTTGGATTATTTCGCTCGATGTACTATGTCTCGTGTTGTAGGTTTCTAAATGTTAATCCCACTTAGATACGGGGAAAATGAATCTAGGTAGACTATGCTTAATAGATAGAGCCTTCACTCCATCTAGCAACCCTTTCCCTAGGGGCGGATGGAGGTAATCTTGCTGTAGCGCTCTGACGCTCTTGTTGTTGTTTATTTTTCTTTTAAAAATACCCTTTCAGATAGCTCGGAGTTCCGGAGAGCCGCAGGGTGACGGAGTTTTGGCATAGTCGCCGTCGCGTATTTTTACTTGTAGAGACTCAACTGTAGTTTTGAGTTTTATCTAGATATTAGAGTTTCATATTCATATTGTAAAGGCAGTGTGCCTTAGTACGATTCTTAGTTGATTCATGTTGAGTCATTTTTATTATTCAGATATCAGATGTATTATAGTTGAGACATGATTCTTTTTATTTATGAGATATCTCTTCTATATCATGTCTATTATATTTATTCCCTTTATTTTACATGTTTGTACCTGCACTTCTATTTGGTTCTACTAGAGGATATTACTATGATTGGTGAAACATGTTTATGCACAATGTGGGTGCATGGGAGGTTTGACATCTCTGGTTTCACCTTGGACTGCAGCCTTGTGTGAACCCAGGGACGTCACAGTTGGTATCAGAGCTCTAGTTCCAGTATCCTTAGGATCATCCTGTGTCGAGTCATGGAGCTAGTATAGAGTTTCCTAGAAATCATATATAGAGTCCGCTAGGAATTCCTAGAATGAGTGAGGATGTTATATACGTATATTCAAAAATTTACAAATTTTTTTTTGATGACAACTACCTTACTTTGATTGAAAAGTGTTATATACGTATATTCAAAAATTTACAAATTTTTTTTTGATGACAACTACCTTACTTTGATTGAAAAGTAAATGCATGAATGATAAGTGATACGATTTTTCCTATTGGTATATGTTATGTTATTTATGATTGGGATCTCACTTACTATGTCAAATAAGCTCTCCTCTTGGTATTATAAACATTGGAACGAGGACGTGGTCAAGGTAAAGCTTGTACCCGGAGAGCTGGGCAAGTAGAGCCCGAGCCGCAGTAGGCTCCAAAGTATCTGATCGACTTGGTAATACCGATTACAAAAGCAGAGACTAGCAACACTCGAGGAGTGAGTAACAAGCCAAAATTTACTCTCTGAAGTTCCACCACCAGTTGTACCAACCGCACCTATTGAAGAGGTAATACCAAAGGTCTCACCATCGCCACATCCAGCTATTAATAGAGTCGCAGAATAGGAAGTTTGGCTCAGTAAGATTGAGGAAGATATTAGAAGTTGGGAGCACAAAAATTTTGGGGCACATCGGATTCAGTTACAACCTATAAATGGAGGAAATATGTGGGAAATACTTTTAGATTTACTTAACGTCGACTCAGTGCAGAAGCAGAGGATGGCAGCTTTTAGCCTGAAGGGTGATGCAGGAGGATGATATAGGCTTCAGTTCACTCCGGATCATCGGATGGCCCTCACTTGGGAGGATTTCGTGTATTTCTTCGACGAGCAG